TTATATCTACTAGTACAAAATTCACTACCGGACAGCTGCCCACCCCAGAATCCTTCTAACGCCTCTTTAGTAAGTTTTAGCTGTTATATACTTGTAATAACAAGTATTTTTTCTCCTAAAGAAAGTTGAAAATAACGTTCCTAGTGAGATTACTTCTTTCAAAAAGTTGTAGCATTTAAATCTCCTTATTTTATTAAAAATTAAATTACATTGTCCCAAAAGTTTCATTCATTAAATTCAGAAAATTACTATTTCATTAGTTGAAAAATTGTAATAATACCTATAATAAACTATTTTGATTTTCTTCAATTTCAATAGGAATTTTTTGTTTCACATTTTTCTCGATGATATGTTTTTCCAAAAACGATTTTTTTTAGGAACAGATCACGTGATAGGTATTGTCTGTCGATTTTAAAAAGGAATGTGAGCTGGTGGCTCCCTACTTTAGAAAGCCAATGGTCACCTTACGTCACACCTCTTTTTGCCATATGAAACACCCCCTCGCTCCTCATACGGAAAGTGTCAGATTAAAAATGACGGACTTAAGTTTTCAGTTTTGAAATACAGGTGAAAGCCTATCTTATTCCCTATTTTTCTCGACTATTTCCTGGATTTTTTTTCTCGTACATGGCGTTCAAAAGGACCAAGTAGAAGTCGAGGCGGTACGAAGTTGGCATGCTGACTAACAAACAATCATGAAGGCAGAAGCTTTCTAGCACTATACAGTTACTTCCGCGGCTTTTTTGAGAATTTCGGGAAGATGCAAAGCTAACTGAGAAAATTGCTCACTTTCATCAGGTACCATGTGAATACTGTTCCGTAGAGCTGATTGATTATCACTGCTTCAACTGAGATAAATTATTGTGTCAAAGTGTCAAACGAAATGAGCTTCTGGCAGCATTGAACACTACCACAGTTTTTTCTTCTAGTAAGAATACGCACCATTTTGTTTCGCCGTGGCTGCTAAATTTCATGAATCCAGAATTTCAAATCGCACGTCAATTGAAGAAATTACACAGTTATACGACTCCCATGACAAACATCGCGAAGGAAGAATTCATGCCCGCGGTTATAGATTATCCCAAAGAGCATGTTCTTCTAACATATTTTGTTAAAGACAAGGGAAAAAACAGGCCGCCAAAATTCTGTACTTGTTCAACAGACACTCATACTGATGAGGAAATAAATGAGTAAGGCTTTAAGAAACAATAACATGCTAACAAAAAATTGGAAATGATACCTACAACCATAATGACTTGGATTACCGTTAGACCGATGGGCTTCGCGGAGCTTGCGAGATAATTCCACCATTATTGAATAGAAATAGCCTGGCCAAATTCCATTTTCACGTTATCTAGGTCACTTCTTAATGCTCCATTTGGTATTAAACTTAGAATAAATTTTCCGATAATTAGTATCGGCCAACTCATCCTGGAAATTATCAGTAAATACGGTTGAGACTTAAATCATTTATAACCTTCTTAATCTCGTCAAGGTCTGTGCGAGTGATGACCATGTTAGTCATTTTTCTAGCTACGAATACATTCAAATAAACCGAAAACTATGTGAGATTAGCAGCACCAGCTCACTAACATCAATCCGAACAACTTTGTAACCAAAAAACCTTCAATTTTACGTTAATATCAGTTGTTAAGTGAACGAATTTGATTAACTTGGAGAATTTTTAACAGAAATATTCACAGTAAATAATTTCGCTTACAATAGAGCTAATTTCTATATAGTTATTGGGAAAAAGGTTATACATTAAATACCTTATACTGATTCAAATTGCGGAAAAGCTCAACGTTCATAATAGTTATTGTTCAGCAAATGGAAAACCTTTTAGCACGTTTAATTACTAGGTTAGGTATAATACTTTTGCAGCGCTGCAGCGTATATAACTAATTGGAGAAAATTACCTGCCACAATGGAAATGTGAAATAAGAAATAATGTAGGTATAGTGAAATTATTTAAACAGTGTATGCACGTGATCAATCCCTCACGTACGGAACCAAACCCGCATCTTATATTGCCACCCGTTGTTTGAAACAAAATTCAATCGAAAACACTAATATGTTTGCGCGTGAAAGTGAGATAATACAGAAAGACATGTATATGGACGATCTTCTAACAGGATGTTCCAATATTGATGACATGATTAATATCCGTGTAAATCTTTCAAAATTATTTTCGAATTACGGATTTGAAATAAGAAAATTTCAATCCAACGACCCTGCAGTTCTTCAAAGTTTAAATCAAGTTAGTGATTCGCAGTACGTAATAATGGATAACAATTCTACAAAAACGTTAGGCATTTCTTGGAAACCTTCATCTGACAGCTTTCAATATAAAGGAGAAGAATTTGTTGGTGGTACTCAAACAATAACCAAAAGAACTATTCTCTCGTTCATTGCCAAAATGTTCGACCCTTTAGGTCTCTTAGGACCTATTTTAATTCGCGCCAAATTAGTGATGCAATCTTTGTGGCAACTTCATCTTGACTGGGATGAAGACGTTCCAGTTGATATTTACAAACATTGGCTCAATCTGCAAACCCAAATGTCAGAAACTAACGCAATTCAAATTCCCCGACACGTCCTTATCAGTTTTCCGATCATAATTCAGATTCATGCCAGTGAAAAGGCTTACGCATGTTCAATATATTTACGTTCTGTTGATGAAAATGGAAATATCCAATGTCACTTACTCTGCGCAAAGTCTAGAGTAGCGCCATTGAAATCTCTTTGTTTACCTCGTTTAGAGTTATGCGGAGCTCTTTTATTATCTCGTCTCGTATCCAAATGTATAGAAGTTTTGGATATCCATATTGATAATATATTTTATTACACCGATTCTACAATAGTTTTGTCCTGGTTAGCAAGCGAGCCGAGGTTATGGAAAACATTCGTGGCTAATCGTGTGTCTAAAATCAGACAAAAAACTAATATAAATGATTGGTATCACATCGCTTCCACTCGAAATCCTGCCGATATTCTATCCCGCGGTGCAAATTTAAAGGATTTAATTGAATCTTTTTTGTGGTGGCACGGTCCAGAGTTTTTGTCCAAAGATCCTGAGCACTGGCCAAAACAAAGTCATATTTCCAATTTCTCTCGAGACCCAGAAAGAATATTGGAATTTAAAACCCAACGTCCTGTATGTTTGAATACTATTAACTTCCACGATTTCGATATATTTGAAAGGTATTCTAGGTATTTGAAATTGATTAGAGTAATCGCTTACTGTTTAAGATTCATAAATAATTTGAAGTCATTATTAAAGTCAAGTCCTACGGAGTTAAAATTGGGAGCTCTTAGTGATGAGGAAATAAATAGTAGCATTAACGTTTTAGTTAAAATTGTGCAAATTACAAGTTTTCCAAATGATCTAGAACGTTTGAAGAAAAATAAACCCGTTGGTAACAAGAGTTCATTGAAATCTTTATCTCCCATTTTGACATCAGATGGTTTGCTTCGAGTAGGAGGCAGACTAGCTAACAGCAATTTAAATTTTGATCAGATTCATCCGATTAATTTTCCTACTAAACATATCTTCACTAAGTTATTGATTCGCTATGAACACGAGCGATGTTTGCACGCTGGAGTAAATACAACTCTTTCACATATAAGGCAACATTTTTGGCCGATTAATGGAAATTCTGCTGTAAAGTCTTGTATCCGGAAGTGCCTTAAGTGTTTTAGAGCAAATCCTGCACGACTAACTACCAAAATGGGACAACTTCCAAGTCCTCGCATTTCCCCTTCATATCCTTTTTCGCACACAGCTGTTGATTTTGCTGGTCCTTTTGAATTAAAAGATGGCAAAACGAAAAATAGAAAAATAATTAAAGGATATGTTTGTATTTTTGTTTGTCTTAGCACTAAGGCGGTGCATATAGAATTGATAACTGATTTAACCAGTGAAGGTTTTCTAAGTATGCTTAAACGCTTTGTGTCCAGACGTGGAATATGTTCCGACTTATATTCAGATAATGGTACTAATTTTATAGTAGCCCACAACGAGCTCAAGTCTATTACCAATTTTACCGAAATTGCTGCTTTTCAACATTACTTGAGTATTTCCCAAATTAAATGGCGTTTTATTCCTGCTCGTTCTCCTCACTTTGGCGGATTGTGGGAAGCTGCTGTAAAGTCATGCAAGCACCATTTAAAGCGCATTCTCAATAAGAATTTGTTAACTTATGAAGAGTTTTATTCAATTTTAAATCAAGTGGAAGCAGTTCTCAATTCACGACCTTTAGTCCCAGTCTCAGCGAGTCCTGGTGACCTCGAAGTTTTGACCCCTGCACATTTCTTAATTGGTCGCCAATTGACAGCTGTGCCACAACGCGATCTGTCCTCTGACAAAATCAACTACGTTAAGAGGTATCAACATATGCAGCAAATGTTTCAAAGTTTTTGGTCTCGCTGGGTTAAAGAGTACCTCCACACTCTGCAGCAGCGAACCAAATGGCAGTTTCAGAAGAATCCTCAGATGACTGTTGGCTCTATAGTGCTATTGAAAGAGGATAACGTACCCCCTTTGTATTGGCCTTTGGGGCGAATTTTGGAAGTCCATCCTGGTACAGACAATATTGTGCGAGTGGCAACGATAAAAACTAAGAGTAATATTGTGAAACGGGCGGTGACCAAACTTAGTTTATTGCCGATCGACAACTGAAAAAAGTCTTCGAGAATACCAAGAGTTAGGAGACTATTATGATTTACTTCAAAAATCAGATATTTTAGTGTTTTTGTTTCCTATTATTACGAATAAGTATGTTCTCCATTTCTTCTTTTGAAAGTCTCAGCCTTTCAAGGGGAGGTGTATGTTAAGATTTAGATATATGATTTTAATTTATAATGATGCCACCAATGTTCGGTTGGTTGTGTGAACAGTATTTAGCGACGCTAACCCTTAAATGGAAGAATGCTGCAAGTCTATACCTGGCCGACCTTTCCCATTGTTGAGGAAGACTCATAGAAACCCATATTTTTATATTAGTTTTAATTAAGGTGTTTAGTTGAATTTTGACTTGGACAGGGACAGGCAGGTTTTTGAAAGTGATATTGAAAATCCTTCAATAAAAATCCACAAACGAATGTATCTTCGTGTTTAACTACAAAACGGGAGTTTAATTCTATTTAATTGTTCATCTGGAGTTTAATTCTATTTATTTGTTCACATCAGAAGTGGGATTTCTTGGAATCGGACATTGAACTTTAGTTTTCAAATCATTTATTTTGATAAAATTCACTTTTTGGTTAAAAAAAAAAAAAAAAAAAAAATTACGTCTAATTGTGCGGACTCTAGTGCGGGAACTGAAAATATAGTGTGATAGTGCCATGTCGAAACGGAAAAGGCGATACTCAAGCTCGAGCAGTAGTTCAAGCTCAAGCTCAAGCAGCTCATCTAGTAATGACAGTGACAGTGAAAGAAAAAAAAATGTTAAGAAGAAAAGAATCATGAATAGAGCAAGTAAACGACGTACTCGTAGTCCAGCAACACCGCCGTTGCCTTTTCCGAAAACCATGTCGTCTGGCTCTGTTAGCGAAGAGGGAGCAAATACAGGTTTGATAGAACTAATTAATAGTTTGAAAAGAGATCAAATTCCCAAATTTGGCATGTCTGTAAAAGATAACGATATCCCTAAGTTTAATCCACTGCATGACGATATTAGTGAATGGATTGGAAAAATTGATGAGCTAGCAAATGTTTATAAGTGGAATGACATAAATATTTGTCATCTGGCTATCAACAAATTTACTGGGCCAGCGGAAACATGGTATAAAAGTCTCCTTATTGTTCCAAAAACTTGGTCAGAATGGAAAATTTCACTTCTTGATACTTTTCCGTCCTCTCGCGATTTGCATAATCTCATGGAAAAAATGATCGCGTACCGGTGTAAATCAGAGAAAAACATTTTTGAATACTGTTTCGAAAAATTAGCTCTAATAAGGAAAATGAACTTAAACTTAAGCGGGTCTGATGAAGTGGATTTGATTGTGGGAGGTATAAATAACCACAGTATCAAGTTTTCCGTTCGTGCTGCGAATATCAATGACCCATCAAAGTTAGCTGCCTATTTGAAAACTTTTGAATCTGGATTGCAAACTGAAAATAATTCTGAACCCATACCTGGTCCTTCAGGAGTCACACGTCCTTCTAAATCCTATGTTCCATCTCAGCAAACAAAGGCAAATATTATTTGTTTTAAATGTAATCGAACAGGCCATAAACAATCTCTTTGTCCTCTTAATAACAAGCCTTCACATTTCAGTCGAGATTTCAATTTACACTGCAATTATTGTAGGAAGAAAGGACATACTATAGAACAATGTTTCAAGAAGAATAAGAATAACTTTGATTTTGACCAAAACAAACAGCAAAATAATTCCCAGGGACCAAAAAAACAGGTGTTTCTGGTTTCTGCACAGGAGGCAAAGAACAAATTTTATAAGAAAATTGAAATTAATGGTGTGTCAGCAAATTGTTTTATAGATTTTGGTAGTGAATGTTCACTCATTACCTACGACATGGTTAAAAAACTGAAATTGGAAAATAAAATGGAAAAATTTGGAACAATTTTAACAGTTTTTGGCGGGTTTGAAATTAACGTCGAAGATAAAGTATTATGCAATGTATGTATTGACAATGTTGACCTGGAAGTAGAATTTTTATTAGTCGAGTGCTGTATTCCCACTATTGATATTGTAGTTGGACAGGATTTCACTGAAAACTTAAACATTTCATATTCACGAACAGGATCAAAATTAAATTTCTATCCTGCTGCTCGCACGGTTAATTTGATTTCAGCCCAGAATGCTACACAAGTAATTCACATTGGAATGCAAGATAAAACAAATTATAGAAAAATTCAGAAAATTATAGAAAAATATAAAAAGTGTTTTCCGCAAGAATCGGATCAAATTGGCACTATTTCAGGGATTGAAATGAAAATTGAATTGAAATCTGATGTTCCAATTGTTCATCGACCTTATCGTTTATCTGAGACAGAAAAAAAGTGTCTTCGAGAATTAGTTCAGCAACTTCTTCAAAATGGTACTGTTAGGCCCTCCGAGTCCTGCTATGCTAGCCCCGTGATCATGGTAAAGAAGAAAAACTGATCGTCTAGGTTATGTGTTGACTTCAGACGTATAAATCAAATAACCAATAAACAAAACTATCCATTACCAATTATAGAAGAACTCATTGATCGTCTAGCAGGCCAAAAATATTTTACCACCTTGGATTTTGGATCTGGATACCACCAAATTAAGTTATCGGAAGAATCAATACCAATTACCGCATTTGTTACGCCAGAAGGTAAATATGAATATTTAAAAGTGCCATTTGGGCTCACAAATGCACCTTACGTGTTTCAACGAGCTGTAGACAACATATTGGGAGAACTCAGATTCAACAAAGTGTTGGTATATTTGGACGACATATTAATTCCCTCTACCACTATCGAAGAAGGTTTATTCAAGCTGGAAGAAGTCTTGCAACGTCTAGAAGCTCATGGAGCTTGCTTGAATTTAGAGAAGTGTAACTTCCTTAGTACAGAAATTGAATATTTAGGGTACAAAATAACGGACGGCGTTGTACAACCAAGTCCTTTGAAAATCAGCGCAATAGAACACTTCCCTAAACCTAAAAATATTCATAATGTTAGACAATTTCTTGGATTGGCAGGACATTTCAGAAAATTTGTACCCGAATTTGCTCAGAAATCCAAACCTCTAACGAAGCTTTTAAAAAAAGACCAGACATGGATATGGGCTGAAGAACAACAGAGCGCTTTTCAAAGCCTAAAGCATTCGCTATCATCCCAACCAATATTATCATTGTTCGACAGCAAAAGGGAAACAATTTTATACACAGATGCCAGCAGGATAGGATTAGCTGGTATATTAACACAAAAAGAAAACAATAAGGAATATGTCATTGCCTACTACAGCAAAACAACAAGCCCAACAGAACAGAAGTACCATTCATTCGAGTTGGAAGCATTAGCTATATTAACATCCCTGAAACGATTTCGACACTACTTAGTGGGAATAAGATTCCAAATTTATACCGATTGCTCTGCTGTACGCAATGCAGTAATGAAAAAGGAGTTGAATCAAAGAATTGGCCGCTGGATACTAGAATTTCAAGAGTATGATTTTGAGATAAGACATAGACCTGGTACAAGTATGACGCATATAGATGCTTTAAGCAGAAATCCCAACATATCGGAAAAGAAAAGCGTATGTGCCGCACTGCTAACTGAAGAAGATTGGATCTTGACGACACAAGAGACAGATACGAATATTAAGAACATCAAAACAATTCTTCTGTTTACAGAGCGAGAAAAAAATAAAGCAATCTTTAAGGAATATGAGTTGAAAAGGGGCAAAGTTTATAAGAAGACACCATATGGAAGTAGAGCAGTTTTACCGAAAGCGTGTCGATGGCAGGTATTGCGATTCAATCATGATGATATAGGCCATTTTTCATTTGATAAAACTTTCGAACGTGTAAATAACAAGTTTTGGTTTCCTAAGATGAGAAAATTTATCAAAAAGTATATACAGGCCTGCATAAATTGCATGTATCATAAAACAGCAACTGGTAAGAAACCTGGATACCTTCATCCGATTCCAAAAATTCCTCGCCCATTCCACACGATCCATGCTGATCATTTGGGACCATTTTGTAAAAGCAAGCAGGGGAATACAAATGTGCTTGTTGTTGTTGACGCTTTCACAAAATTTTGTTTTATTAAGGCTGTGAAAAGTACCAGAACCAAATATGTATTAAGTGAGCTCACAGAAATAGTAAAAATTTTTGGAGCCCCAAAGAGAATCATCACCGATAGAGGAAAGTCTTTTGTTTCAAAAAATTTTAAAGAATTTTGCAAAGAGCGCAAAATAGATCACCATCTAAACGCAGTGGGGATGCCCAGAGGAAATGGACAGGTCGAGCGTTATAATAGGACTATTCTTGACTCATTATCCACTATGGGAGCAGATAAAGATGATGACGAGTGGGACGAAAATATTTTTATTTGTCACTCATTTGTAAAACGTCACTTATCAAGTCAAAACATAAACAACGAAAATTCATTTTTACAAGGCACTGGCTCTACTGACTTGTAAAATTGACAGCTAAACTGTAATAGTATATTACAATCCGAGACGGAAAATACTTCATTGCTGGTCGAGAGGTTATTATAGTTTATCGAGACGCGAAGCGTCGAGATAAACTCAACCTCGAGACAGAAATGAAGTTTTCCGTCGAGGTTTGTATACTTTTTTATTTTCAACCCTTAATTTTCTGATGCAAAAACTAAAGATTCTGTTATACGAAATTTTCATATAGTGTAAAACTGGCCTTAGAAAAAAATATTTCACTTTTTTTGTCAATGTCATCAATTTTGACGATCTCAAAGGCCCTGTAAAGGCCAAAACAAAAGACGAAACCACAGGAAACCGCAAAATCAACAACCATAGATAAGATCAACAACGCCTTAACGACGGTAGTTTTCGCTCAGTATTTTTGCGGAAATAATAGATTTTCACTAGATTTCTCCCCGTTCTCCCCAAAGAAATGATTTCGGAAAGTGAAGATGAAGCGATGGATTGTACCCCACCTGAATTAAAAGAAGCAGCAGACAGGATTGGAGAGAGTTTGCTTCCAGCAAAAAGCAAATTTCGGTACGAAAAGGCTTTTCAAATATTCGAAGCATGGTGTAGCCAGAAAGGAACGAGAAATACTGCCTCGGAGACCGTTTTGTTGGCGTATTTTGGCGAATTATCTAAGGAAAAGAAGCCTTCGACTTTATGGTCGACTTACAGTATGTTGAAAACCATGATTAAATTGAAAGAGAAAGTTGATATCTCCAATTACGCAAAACTTATAGCTTTTTTGAAGCGGCAAAATCTGGGCTTTCAGCCGAAAAAGTCGAGCGTTTTTTCCAGAGAAAACATTAACGAGTTCCTCACGAAGGCAGCTGAAGAATTCATTAGCATCAAGGTAGGTTTTCAAAAAATATACAAAGAAGATAAAAATGCGAAAATCAAAATGATTTTCTGTATGCTATAGCTAGGTTACCCATTTTATTTTTATCTGGTTTCAGGTAGCGCTAATTGTTGGTGTGTCGGGTGCATGTAGGAGCGATGAACTAGTCAAGATGAAAATGGAGCACGTCAACGTTTTGGAAGGAAAGATCGCTATAGAAATTCCACACACAAAAACTTACACAAGTCGATCGTTTATCATAAGCGATCCAGATTGGGTTGCTATTTTCCACAAATACCTCACTTTGCGGAAAAATTTGAAAAATGACAGGTTATTTGTTCAATGGCGAAATGGGAAATTACATAACCAAGCAATTGGCTATCATTCAATCTCAAAATTTCCACATAAAATAGCTGCTTTTTTGAAGCTTCCAAAAATTGAAACTTTTACAGGGCATGCTTTTCGTCGTACTTCCGCAACCTTATTGGTTGACAACGGGGCCGATCTATTGCAACTCAAAAGACTGGGAGGGTGGAAATCGAGCACGGTTGCTGAAGGCTACATAGAGGCATCTTTGGAGAACAAAAGTAAGACTGCTCTGATGCTATCCTCTACTTCCAAAGGTATTCAGTTGTCCAGTGCATCCACAAGTACATCACATGCGGAAACTCATCCGCAAGCGCAAGAGATAATAGTTCCAAACGAAACACAATTCCAACAGGATGGTCTCAAGATTTCCATTATAAACAACAATGCTAATTTAACAATTAATGTAAATAAGTGAATAGATTTAATTAGTTCCATGTAATACATGTGGTTTTATTATTATATGTGAGAGCTGTATGAAAATTATCAATTTGGAACGAGCAGGGAAATGGGGACGGAAAAGCATTTGCCGTCCCGGACGGAAAATGCTTTTCCGTCCTAGGCAGGCATATGCATTACCGTCCCGATAAATGTCAAAGTCCAGAAATGTGACACTTTCAAGATTTTGAAAAACCTGCAATGTCAACATTACATATGTGGTTGAAAATAAAAACTTTTTACAAGTCAGTAGAATTATTTATTTTTAAAAAATCAGTTTTTTCACAAGAATAATTGTATGTTTTTTTTTTATACCTTCTGGAATCCTTATCTGGTGATAAACTGTTAGCTACGACTGTAGTTTCATTAATAATATCTTCTGACACATTCATTTCTGGAAAAAAATTGCAAAATGCAAATCTTCCAGAAAACCGGATTATAACTAAAAACAACGACTTAACAACATCTCGTTCTTATAGGTATAGGTACTAGGCTTGTATGACAAAAAATCAAAAAAAAAAAAAATCTTTTTTTTCTAATTTTATGTATCAATTTTTTATTTTTCCCTATATTTTTTACAAATGAGTAACAAATAAACTATTGTACATTATACGCCAGGTAGCAGTTTTTACTGGCTCTTGAAGGTGACAAGCTCGCCTGACGGCTCGCTAGTCATTTCCTTCAATCGCCAGTAAAAACTGTTTTACCTGGCTAATAATGTAAAATACTATTATTTGTCACTCATTTGTAAAACGTCACTTATCAAGTCAAAACATAACCAGCGAAAATTGATTTTTACGAGCTACTGGCTCTACTGACTGGTAAAATTGACAGCTAAACTGTAAAAACTTTTTACAAGTCAGTAGAATTATTTATTTTTGAAAAATCGGTTTTATCACAAGAATAATTGCTTGTAGGTACCTTCTGGGAGACTTTTCTGGTGATAAACTGTTGGCTACGACTGCAGCTTCATTAATAATATCTTGTAATAAATTCATTTCTGGAAAAAAATTGCAAAATGGAAATCTGTCAAAAAACCTATTTATAACTAGAAACAACGTCTTAACAACGTATCATTCTCATAGTTATACCAACTACCAAAACTTCTGTGAGAAAAAATCAAGGAAAAACATATAAATTTCAAATTTTTGTTATGTATTGATTTTTTATTTGTCCCTATATCTTTTACAAATGAGTAACAAATAAATTATTGTACATTATACGCCAGGTAGCAGTTTTTACTGGCTCTTGAAGGTGACAAGCTCGCCTGGCGGCTCGCTAGTCATTTCCTTCAATCGCCAGTAAAAACTGTTTTACCTGGCTAATAATGTAAAATACTATAAATATCCAACTGGGACTTAATAATACTTTGAATAAGTCCTTAAATTGCTGTCCTTCTCAGATCTTATTAGGATACCGTACAAGTTCGCACCATTTCGATTCAGTGGAAGAAGACGACCTCGTGAATGTTGCTGAATTGAGAAAATTGGCCATCGAACAGATTTCTAAACAACAGGAAAAACAAAAGTTACAGTTTGACATTCACAGAGCAAAGCCGGTTGCTTTATGTTTGGGAGATTTAGTTTTGGTCAAGATTTCATCAATTGTAAGCTCTGGTACTAGTCGAAAGTTGGTAGCTAAATGGAAGGGGCCATTCAAAGTCAATAAGATATTGGATAACGATCGTTATGAGGTGTGCGACGTTCCAGGATCTCAAAGATCAAGACTACCATACTGTGGAGTTTATGCAGCAGAGCATATTAAACCATGGGTTACCTACTGTGATGGGCCCTGAATGTCAAGGTATATTATATACGTACATGAAAAGTTGCTGTCGAGTTACTTTCTGTGTAGAAATGCCGTCGAAAGTGAACTCTATGCAAGCCGTCGAGAAAAATCTCTGTGCTATGAGCAAGCCGTCGAGAAAATCTCTGTGCATTGAGTAAGCCGTCGAGAAAATCTCTGTGCATTGAGTAAGCCGTCGAGAAAATCTCTGTGCATGGAGTAAGCCGTCGAGAAATTCTCTGTGCATTGAGTAAGCCGTCGAGAAATATCTCTGTGCTCCGTGAAGCCGTTGAGAATTTCTCTGTGCTCAAATCGCCGTCGAGGTACCTTGTGCCTGTTTTGGCTGAAAAGTACCTCTGAGCAGTAATGATTGCCATCGAGACAAATTTCCGTTGCGTAGCGTAAGACGCCGTCGAAATTGTCTCTGTGCATAAAACCATGAAATAATTTGCTATGTATAAAATACTTGTTGTTGTTACAGGAACATGATGCAGCATTATTCGATCACACTCAACCAAATAGTAGCATAAATAAAAAGAAGTTGTTCTTTTATTTAATGAACAATTCATTAAAATCGGTCCAAAGAACGGCTTCTTTGATAACATGAACTCTAGGTTATTGAAGTATGAACAATTTCTTAATTCCTATTTCGATTCATCTTGTGTATGAACAACGAACATTAAGGTATGTAGCAAGGTTCTTGTATTAATGAAACTTTTCATAGTAACAATAAACATCGTTTTTAGTTTATATGTACTTTTTCATTGTCCTGATGAACAGACGGCATAATATTAATGAAGCCCAGATATAATTTGATGAAATCCTTTCATTGTATTTATGAATCACAGTCTTGAATACTAAGAATTGCATTTATTGTATTTATTAATGACCTTTTCAATAATATGTACCATATTCTTTATTTTTATTAAAATAATTTCATGAATTATGCCTTAAATATACTTATGATTTTAAATGGGGTAAAGGGTTATTTTTTATATTTGCGTGTCCCCTGTACTGATGAATATAAGCAATAGGAAAAAAGCTTTTAATGCAAAAGTTGCATGGTTTCTTCGTATCACCTTCCAGAATTGTCAAACAAACCAATGGGCATCCCAAACTCTGAAAATTTAAAAATCTAAGTACCTACTTATGTATTTTTATTTTAAATGACACTAACCGTATATTCTATTATCTTTCAAATCCTCCTTAAATCCTGTTTCCATAAATATATAATATATCTATATTTGTTCCAGCTGTTTTTGAACTATCAACATCCAAAGTTTCTAAAACAAGCCACATCAGAAAATTAGATTTGATGCTTTGGCTGGTTTCCTTGCCTCGGCTATGAAACACTAGCTGCGGTATTGAATTTTCTGCTTTTCTACCTAGTGAAACAAAACCATTTAACAAAAATATATCGATTAAAAAAATTACTTGATTTGGGATTGAGTATACTTACTTTTAGAGACTTCAGTATTCCTTAGAAATTCTGAGGAGCTCTTGACGCTTTTGTCTTTCACGTTCTCCCCGGATGACATTTAAATCTGTAGGTCATTTCTTTCGCATTCCCATTTTGAGACTAGACCGTCTCCGTGCAAGGCATCAAAGTCCTACCTACATAATAGGTATACATATTATAGAGGTAATAGAGGTATACAACTTACCTTTAGCAAAAACCGGCGACAGGTATAATCGACTTTCTATTTAACACTTCGAACAACACAAAACCGAAAAAACCGACTTGAACGAAGCACGTAGCAATGCACCCAGAAAATAGAAATGTAATTATTCCTATTTCAACATATTTTTCTATGTCGTTGCCCGACTGCAGCTACCTTTGCGCATGTGCTTAGGAACTGTCTACATTAATGCTATGAACTGTTTCATTGTATTTATGATTTATCTTGATGTAATGGTTGCAGCTTTGTGTCTAGGAATACTTGCTTGTTTTAAATGAACCGTACATTGTATCAATGAATTTCGTTCTTAAAAGGATAAGTTTCTAGTAAGGTCATATGAACCATATTCATATTATTCATGTTAATATTCATTTAAATTATGAATATTCCGTGGAAGCTCCCATCAAAGAAATTTTCTTTAATATCAAGGTTTAATTTCATAATATCAATGAACTTAGTTCATGTAACCGATGCACTATTCAACATAGATTCATGTAGATGACTATTCATAACTTAATGAAGCTTCATTCTTTATTTTAATGAGAGCTGTTCATGAAATCATAATACTTACAGTTTTCTGTACCTGGGATTAATGAAAATTTCACTGAATCAATGAAAATGTAATTTATGAAAGCAGTTCATTGATATTATGATCAAGATTTTTTTGAGTGCAGGATGGCCGAATGTGAACAGTATTTAGCGACGCTAACCCTTAAGTGGAAGAATGCTGCAAGTCTATACCTGGCCGACCTTTCCCATTGTTGAGGAAGACTCATAGAAACCCATATTTTTATATTAGTTTTAATTAAGGTGTTTAGTTGAATTTTGACTTGGACAGGGACAGGCAGGTTTTTGAAAGTGATATTGAAAATCCTTCAATAAAAATCCACAAACGAATGTATCTTCGTGTTTAACTACAAAACGGGAGTTTAATTCTATTTAATTGTTCATCTGGAGTTTAATTCTATTTATTTGTTCACAGTTGTCATATTGCCATTGTCAAAAAAAATTGTCATATTTTTTTAAAACTCCTGTCATCGAGCATATTATAATTCTTCCTTCAAGTTGGTAATTTTATTTATCAAAAGGGTTAGTACGCATCTGAAGCAGTTGTGAACGACGTACAGCCCAACAAATGGAAATGGCAATCGTGCCAACTTTCTGATTAATAAAATTTATTTTATTTGGAGCGGCTCCATGGGAATAAAAATTTCATTTTTAAAACAAAATCACCACATGAGTATTTTTATTTCCAATCAAGTAAGTAGACGCAGGAAAAATATAATAGGAGGCCTATTTGGCCATCCCGCAGCTTGATTTATTTTTATAACCATTTGTACTTAAAAATCTCCAAGCAAGAAGAAACACCTTTTCCGCCGGCGCCGGCGCTTACAACGATAGTTTCAGTCACATAATGTCTTGAATTTGAATGCTTAATTGCTTATCACTAATAGATCTATACAATATAATTATAGTGACTATGAAATCCTTCTGGTAAAACCGTAAAACAGTGGGAGTAGGTATAAAAATGTGGCGCTTTCGAAAAACAAATTCATTAATTATTATTTTGATTGATTTTGACGAAGATTAAAAAAGTGGTAAAGTAGGTCAATATGAGAGTTTATGGAGTTTATGACTTTAGGACAAAAATAAGGCAAACAGTCTTGAATCTCACAATCCACTGAATTCACTTTAATTTTTAAGCAACTAGTTTCGGGATCAAACAGTTTTACATCCCATCATCAGGCTTACAAGAGCTGAAAATATTTTTTTCTGAATTCATGTCATAAAAGCAACAAATAAACAATACAAAATCATTAAAAAAAAATAGAATAACTATAAATACTATGCACCATGATTTAAAAATTACAATAAAAATTGAAGAAGAGTTTAATACAGTTTCCCATAAGTATACATAAGTGCTCCACTATTGGGCCTCTGTAAAAGCATTAAAATAAGATTAAAATAGAACAATTATCAACATTAATTAACAAACAAGATGACAACACAAAATCCGATACAAACACTTTAAAATCGCTAATAAATCATCCCTTCTATATCATCTATCATCTATAAAATTGGCAACAATTTTATTTTTGTCCTAAAGATGAACTCACATTTTTCTTCAGTTAACCATTAGTTTATGTCTTAATACATATACACATTTTGTCTTACATTATAAAAAATAAAGTATACCTAGCTATATGTACAGGGTGGTGCAAATTGGACACTTTCCTATGAAAACATTCATTATTTTTCGAGATAGAAAAAAATGGAACCCCCACTCTGACGTTCAAATTTCATGAAATCTTGATTGGTGCAAACCGCATTTTGCTATCTTCATCCGTTTAGCCGCTAGGTGGTTCTTGATTTGGAGCAATACTGTGAAACCTTCATAACTTTTTTGTTTATGAAAATAATTGATTTCCGTAAAGACTTCCTGGAAGCATTTTTTTAAGCAGAATTCAGTGACGTTCTCAGTTTTTGTCTATTTGTCGAACTTTATATCATTGAAATCAGCAAAGGCGGAGCTTTCCAATGAGCTATTATATTAATTTATAGGATGTCTTATTGAAAAAAATTGAATTTTGGTCAATATCTCGAAATCGGAGCCAAGTAGAAAAAAACTGAGAGCGACACCGAATTCACCTTGAAAAGGTCGTTCTAGGAAGTTTTTACGGAAATCAATTATTTTCATAAATAAAGAAGTTATGAAGGTTTCACAGTATTGCTCAAAATCGAGAATCGCCCTCTAGCGGCTAAACGGATGAAGATATCAAAATGCGGTTTGCACCAATCAAGATTTCATGAAATTTGACCTTCAAAGTGTGGGGTTCATTTTTTCTATCTCTAAAAATAAAGGGTGTTTCCATAAGAAAGTGTCCAATTTGGCCCACCCTGTACATATATTTTATTTGGTAACCAACCAACCATATTTGAGTATTTCACTTAAATTTTTCCATCTGAATCTTGTGATATGCTCACATATCGGAGTTTGGATTCTCTCAAATTTCGATATAAACTTTTTCATTTAAAATGGCTTCTGGTAAAATTACCAGGTTTTGGTGATATTTGATTCTTATGAATATGTCTTTTAGGCCTCTGTTCACGTATTTTTCAGTCAAGAAATCAGAAATAAAATAGACTTAAAATTTTTTTTTTTAAAGATAAAAGTCAAAATGACATTATGTTGGCAATACAATGTAAAAGTGTCAATGCTTCCAAATTTTTTTTGTAGAAAAGGCTTGTCTTACCAACATATGTAGTTACTAAATTTTTGACTTGGGGAATTATCTTTAAAAAAAAAACAGACTTTACGTTTTTAAACTAA